GGATTGGTTATGTGTAGTGTGGAAAGGCCAGTCCTAGTGTGCTAGAATTCAGAAGAATCTCATGGATTCCTAAGTAGTACACACATTGGAGGGGCAGAACCTAATAGTCTAAGAGTAAAGTGAGAGTGCTTGACATAGTTTTGAAAGACTTAGTAAAACAGTGTAGAGATAATTTTTGAAGTGAAATGATTTTCAAGAACAGAAACAGTTTTCAGGAAGATGCTAGAGGTGAAAATAGTCTTGAAATCAATTCTGAAAAGAACATATATACAGTCACACAAACTTAGAGTGCTCAGACTCACAATCACTCAGCAATCAGCTTTACAAACAGGGGTCAAGGGGGTTGGGAACATAGAGAGTTCAAACACATAAACAGAGTCTAGGAGAGCATATAGAGCAACAAGCTGTACAAAACAAACAGGATTCAACTAGTTCAGAGACTTAACAAGTTAGTCATGATAAGAAGCGATTAAGACATAGGCATAGAACGTAGTGAAATAGTCATGTTAAAGACAAAGTGCATACTAATTAGGATCAACCAAGTACATTAGACAACTAAGTTATCGACATGATCACACCAATTAAAGAGAGTAAACAGAGACTAAATAAACATGTTGGCCAAGTATCAAACATACAAGTGAAACCCAGACATACTGATTGCACATTTGAACAACGGGGGACAGAATTTAGACATGCTGAGTAAAGAAGCAAACAGGAAGATAAACTAAATACATAGCAAATCGAACTAGTGCAAAATATGGAACACATAGAGTTCGAGTTTCAGAATTGAACTGGAGACATACCAGTTAGAGAAACAAAGTGCAGAATGTAAAGCAAGTGTAATCCCACTGTCTATCCTTGGCTTTCAGCCGGCTAGACCAACAGTTAGCACAAGTAACAGAGAAAGAAGACAGAGTTTGAGTGTGCGTGTGTGTATTCTAAACTTTGTTCGTGTGTTGAGAGGTAGAATAAAAGTGTTTATATAGCAATATAGGAGTGGAACAAACAAGGTAAAGGAATCATCATTCAGTCAATTAAGGAAGTCACAGAATCCAATCACATAAAGGAGTTTAGAATAGATTCCTTTAATCAAAGGGTAATTGATCAAATGGTAATAACAGGGGACTAATTAAGGAAAGAATCCCAATTATACCATGTAAAGGAATTAGTAAGAATCTGCAATTATACAGGCAATCAAATAAGGCGGGATGACCAATTAAGGTCGTAAACAAGGAAACAACAAGAATTATGCACACGAATCTCTACTAGAGCAAATCAATCAACCAAACTTTCAAAAATAATACTGATTTCTGGAAAGAGATATCAACTTCCATAAAAAGAAAAATGAACTAAGTAAAACATCACAGAAACATAGAAATTAGTCGGAAACACAGATTCCGGGCCTAAAAGAGATTTATTAGGGCAGAAACCACAGAATAATGGATTCGACAACGAAAAATGTTTAAGTCCAAGAAATAGTGCAAGGTAACACAGAAAGTACCCAGAATCGAAGCAAAGATTGGAAAAATCAGTATATTACATAGAATGAACTAGGGTTCGAATACTCTCGTGAAAATCAGTCAAGAAGGTGAAAGAATAATTGATTAAACACTTAGAAGTTAGAAAGACCTTTGAAAAACAATTTGGGATGAACCCTAGTTTAGGAAGAGCGATAAAAGTCGGAATAATTAATTAACCCAGAAATTTTAAGGGAAAACACATAATAGTGCTCGAATCACCCCAGATCTATACAGATCTAAGAAGGATCGATAGTAACGGACTAGGGTTTTTCAGAAAAGTAGTGGAGATGAGAGAATAGGTCAAGAACCCATAGATTCGTAACAAAATAAAGAGAAGTTCTTACTCACAGTCGAAAAATGGCATGAGACAGGCTAATAAACAAAGTTTCAAACCAGAACCAGCTAGGTTCTTTGAGATCTTCTCAAGGATCCAAGAAATCAAAGAGTCATGGCGTTTGGAAGGCCAGGGCTAGTCAGAGAAGCCATGGAAGCCTCATAAGGTGGAGGTTTATGCCGGTGACGGCGCTTAGAATTAGGGTTAGGTCGAGAGAGTTTGAGAGAAAAGGGAGATGATAACGGCGGGTGAGGGAGAGAATGAGAGGGTTTGGAGGGAGGGAGGGAGAGGGTCATTTAGGTTTAATTAAGGTAAGGGAAATGTGGACCGTTGATCTGAATGATCAACGGTGAGGATTGAGATGGGGTATTGGGTCGGGGTGTACAGACTCGGGCCTAAGGGGATTGGGCCAAATTTAAAGGGTTTGGGCTGGTTATAGAGGGGTTAGGTTTGGGAAGAAAAGGGCTATTTATCAAATACCCCAAATAATTTATGAAAATATTTTATAAAATAATTAGCAAATTAAAAAAATAATTTTCATGCATAAAAATATTTTAAAATAATTATTCAACATTTTTAAAATACAATGAGCCATTTTATGGCAAGATAATGTAATAATGTATGCACGGGCTATAATTGCAAAGTTATTGCAATTGTAACCAAAAAGTGTAAATCTGGCCATTTGTGAAATAATTTGAACTTAATATGACTATAAATAGCAATATTAAGTCATGAAATGCTATAACGTCATTTGTGATGCAATTTTGTAATTATTTATATAAATAAAATAATAGGATAAATTAATTTAAAAATGAAGAATTTATGAAAAAATACCAATCGATGTTAATGCATAGTTTTGAAGGTATATATGTACTTAAAAGTATTATAGGGAAAAATTGGATATCAACAACTGTGTAGGTGCAAAGAGCATGGAGACTGGGAGGAGACTACTGGTAATTCCTTAAAATATTTAAATCTATTTTTCTCTAACTATAATTATATATTTTAATTTAGTTAACATGTTTTACTATATTTGTAGGAAGAAAATATGAGAGGAAGATGACTCATGATGAGTTCTTCATGGAGACTCACATCCAGAAGAAGAAAGCACAGACAGATCCAAGTAGATGCGTCGGGGACCGAGCGGAGACTACTTATGTAAGTTTCATAACTACTGTAACTTGGAATTAATATTTATAATATTATATAGTTAATAATTTTCTATCTTCTAAATAAAGGGTCGCTACAAGACTAATGTGGAGGAGTACACTCAGAGCTTGCCACGAAATGAGCAAGGTGAGCGACCACCCATTTCAGACGAAGAAACACAGAAGATATGGTTGGATGTTGTCGGTAGTCCTAAAAAGAGGATAGTATACGGCCTTCCATAGAGATTATTTCAGCGCTACATGGCCGGATTGCAAGGTATAGGGACTTCCGCCCAAGGCGAGGCAATTGATAGGTCGACTCTCTCGGCTATGGAGAAGAAGATTGCAAAGCTGACAGCAAAGCTTGAAGAGACAAAGGCTAGAGAAGAAAAGAGAGATAAATAATTTGATACCCTTCAAGCTCTGCTAGAAAAGAGGGACCAACAATTTAATGTCCTTCAAGGTCAGCTGGCCAATCTTCTTACTAGTGGTGCTTTCCCGATTCCCCGGTCTAGTAAGTCTTCCCCAGATGCGATCCTTCGAACCATGCCGACGATGAAGCTTCTAGTAGTGGAGATGGAGATGGAGATGATGTAGTACAAAACACTCATTGAATGATGTTTGAACTTTTAACTTGTGAAACGTTTTGTTTTTGGGTATTATGAAACTCTATAAATATTGTTATTATAGTTTTGATAGGTTTTATTGTTATTGTTATTATTGTTATTGTTGTTGTTATTGTTGATATTATTGGTTGAATGACAGCAATGTAATATTGTCATTATAGGTGATTGGTTGTTGGAAGGTGGTGCAGCTGTAAAACAGTTGTATTCTGCCAAAACTTACCCAGAAAACTGATCGCCTACCTCGGAAATGTTCAATTAAATTTTCCAGAAATTTAAATTTACCGACCTACTTAGGTCACAATTTTTAATTTTAAACTTTGAATATTTTAATAATACGGGCCGACTTCATCGAAATTTTTTATTTTAAATTTTAAATATTTAATATTACCGACCGAGTTCGGTCGAAAAAGAACAATTTTAAAAAAAAAATGAATAATTAAAATTCTGACCGATGTTGGTCGCTAATTTAAAAATAATTAAAAATTATTTTCAAGAATAGCGACCGAATTCGGTCAGTAAGATTATTTTGTGTCAGCTTATTTGGTCAAAGTGCGTTGAAAATTACTGACCTACTTCGGTCGGAAATATTGACTGTCTGTGGTCGCCTCGCATTAGCGACCATTGTTTTCTCGACGAAATAAAAACGGCCGAAAATCGGTCGGTTTTTGTTCGATTCCGACCGATTTCAGTCGGTTTTTCTCGACGCTTTTTGATTGTTTTCTAGTAGTGTTACGTGCCATAAGTATTATGTAACTTAACAAAACTTCAAATTTAATTACCATAAACGCAGTCCTAAAACTCCATTATAACAAAGCACTCGTCATAAACCATCTGATCCACCAACAAAATGCCAATAAGGTTAACATGAATAGTGGGAACAGAATATTAGGGCCTTAAAAATATATCAGGGCCTTAACAAAAATATTGGGTCCTATAAAGTACAATATATTTAGTATAGCAGCGGTCTTAGGACGCACAAAAGTAGAAGCAGACTCGCCAAACGAAGTGAGCCACGTGACACTCTTTGTTACCACTGGCTATGTCTCTGCCACACGTTTTTAAGATAATATAGGTTGACGTCGACGTGCCCATATCACACTTCCTAATCCTGTCACTAATTAAGATTTTGATGCTCATTGCTGCACTAATTATACAGGAATCTTTCTTTTTTTTAAAAGAAAAAACTAAAGATAAGTATCATAATATAATAGAAATATGTTTCTGAAGTGTCTAACAACTCTTTGTGCTATAAAATAAAGTGTAATTCCATTTCTGGCCCTGAATGAGTGGTCTCTTTACCTTTGCTGTTGCTTTCGGATATGAGATTACTAAAACAAGATAAAAATGAGTTTTTGCCCGGTCTTTTACTTTGTTTTGTTTACTGTTTTTGTGCTTTTCCTTTCTTTTTTTGTTTGGGTAATATAAGACTGATGGAAAGAGACATACGGAATAATTAGAGAACAATGATAAAAATGGTCATGTTGGGTTCTGTGGTCAGAAAATGAAGATTGATACATCAACCCAAATATAAAGATCCTTCATATCTTGGTTCTTGTATTTATGAATCCAATTGCTTACTGAATTTTTTTTTCTTAAGATTGTTCTATCTTCATCCTCTTTCCTTTTTCATCCTTGGGTTCTGGGCTTCTTTTGTGTTATTAGCAAATTCTCAATACCTTCATTAATTCTTTTCTAGTTGAATGTTTTTTTTGTAGGATTTTCGAGCTATCACTGTTTTTGCTTGTACGTGCAGATTTTCACAGCTAGGGTTTTCCAGTCATTTGCAACCTTCTTTTTTTGGCTGAAATTCAGCTGAAAACTTCAGTTTCTGAAATAGATTTCTTTTAGGGTTTTGAAGTTCTTAGCATTTATTTCGTAGATTTACCTCTCTTTTTTTTCCAACAATCATTTGGGTTGTGAATTTCTTGGATATTCAGCTTTGCACTTCTCTTTAAGCTTTTGGATATCAGCTTCTTCTTTCTTTCACGGCTAGCTTTTCAGCTATACCTTAATTTATTGGTAAATCTTTCTTAATCTTGGATGAGTTGTTTCACTACTCCTAAATAAGAGTAGCTTTTGACATTGACTAAATTAATTGTGCAGAAAATATATAAAAAATGGTGAGAGGAAAGGTAGAAATGAAACGAATAGAGAATACAACAAGCAGGCAAGTAACCTTCTCAAAGCGTCGGAATGGACTTCTAAAGAAAGCTAAGGAGCTATCTGTTCTTTGTGATGCTGAAGTTGCTTTGATCATTTTCTCACAGAAAGGAAGACTCTACGATTTCGCTAGCTCCAAGTACGTACCTTCTCCTTTTTCCCCTCTTAATTATTACCTACATATCTTCACAATAATCAATCTGCATTAAAATTAACTTAGTTTTCCTTATCCCATAAAATATAATCAATCAATTGTTTTAACGGGTCCATCATCTTCGTCTCGTACTCTCGCTATTTTAATTTGATGCTCACACTTCTTCTCTTTTTTCATTAATTAAAGAAAGTTCTCACTGTGTTCAATGTGTACGTTTTCTTATGCTCTTGCTTGCTAGTATTAATATTCTAATTTCCATCTTTGAAACTGCTGTAAGGAGAGGCATGGACTTTGTGTACTTAGAAAGTACGATGACACTGTTTTTTTTTTTTAAAAGTTCGTCTAGTCATGACCTCGCGTGCATCAAATCAATTGTGTACCCCACTCAGTCTGTTTGCTGCGTTTCGATTATTGTTTCATTACTTCTGAGACATATACTTTGATATCTCATTTACTGTGGCTAGAATCTTTACTTCATCATGTTATCACCAGTGTTTGTTTCGTCCTATGGAACAGTCCTGATAAATTTTAAGGTTTTACTACCATCTTGAGCAATCGAGTAAAACACTCCATTTGAGTCTCAATGATATTTTTCTTTCAACTTCTTCTCTACATGATTTTTTTTGTTTTGTTTGGCTCCGACCTTAAAATAAGTGTATACATGCATCTACTTTTCGATTTAAAAATCCAAATGAGTTCTGGATAATAACTAGCACATATGATCATTTAGTGAAACATGCTATATATAATTTCATTCAGTGGTGCTCAATGGAGTCTTGAACAAATATATAGCAAAGGAGCTAGCTATATGGAACATGAAGTAAGCCTAGCTAGCTATGGTGAACTTAGATTGGCTAGAAGGTTCTGATGCTGCAGATATCTCATGGTCTTTTTCATCATTTTATGCCACTCAAAGGCCTGTCCTACACTCCATGTATGATAGAGGTCTCTCTTAATTTACTACCGTATGATATACACATTTCTTTTACATCTTGAGGAAAGTTTCTTTGATGAGTGGAGTTGTTAGGTAAATGGGAGGGTTTTTTCCCTATAGAATTTGGTGGGGGAGGGGGTCGAGGTACGGCTTTTAGTCTATGTTGTTTGGACCCGGGGTGAGAGTATCCGATATGAGTGCGGAATCTAGAGGCCGAATTCATCACCACATAAATTTTAAGATACGGGTGTATGGATCCGAGTGCAAATACAAGTACTTGGATAGAACCAATAAATTATATATTACGACACATATAACTATATATCTCAATTAAAAAGTTATTGATAAAACTAATAAAATTTTATTCTTTATAAATATCTAATATTTTATAAGATATCTTGTATAACAGCAAAACATACTCATACTGTATATAACCATAGTCCATATATATAGTATATGGCATAAACCCACAAAATCAAACCAAATACCTGATCAATCTATACTTCTTGTTCATGGATGTTGTAAAAAGCACCCATGGTCAGTTGACTAAATCCAGTGTGGATCTCATACTAACATCCATACCTATGTTGTATCGACACAGGTCCGACAAGGATTTTGAAGAGCCCTCACTACATAGCTTTTAATTGCTTTAATTCTTTTGAACAATATATATGGTACATGTAATGTTGTTGTACTCCTATATATGCATCTTTTTATGTGTTAGGTCACCCTCTTATCTCTCGAGTACCCTCATTTCTTTGGGACTAAATCCAACCAAAGTCTTGTTGATTGTGTCTGAATTCATTCTTTTCATATTTTCTCTTTTTCAAGTGAAGTGATGCAACTATATAAGAAAAACTAGCTCCTATTGGAGACATTACAAATCAAACTATATGATTGTAAATCTAACACAAATTAAATGAGAAAGCAATCACAAGTTACTCAATGAGAGAACTAAAGACAAATAAAGTTAACCTATTCAAGAATCTAATTATTATCTAACACAAATTAAATGAGAAAGCAATCACAAGTTACTCAATGAGAGAACTAAAGTTAACCTATTCAAGGATCTTATTATCTAACCTCGTCAATCTCCTTACTGATTCCAGCTCCTTATTTCAGCTGAATCAGACAGGTATTTGGGACAAAATGGTAATCCGGTCGCAGATAACTAATAGAGATCGGATTATGTAGTGCCATACACTTTCAAGCCTGTCATTGATCATTTCCAGCACACGGTTGTTTGATGATTAAAAGAAGAATATCTAGCAATATTGGGACCTTACTAGCAACTCAATTTTAATTTTAATTTTAATGGTGTGAATTCATAATATTTTTTATTTCGACCCCTCCGGTGAAGTAATATTTGTGTCTTCTTCATCTGATAGATAGAGCAACATACTTTCGTATATGAAATTCTGTTCTTTGTTAAGTTTCCCCTAATTTATAACATGCCCAAACGCCAAATGACAATATATATGTTGAGTATATAGTGCCTCCATCTACTATACAAAAGCACCCCATACCTAGGTTTCCAAAGTGCAATATAATTTAGTTATGGTGAAAGCCTTACAATTACTTCATTTTGGATGATTCAGCATGCAAAAGACAATTGAGAGATATCGTGAACGTGCAAGAGAAACGGTGGTGTACAACAGCACTGAACTCCAGCAGTACATGGAGGTCAGTATTCTTTTGAATTACTTCCATGGTTTTCTCTTATGTGCGTCAAGCAATTTATTAGTATAGCAATATATGCAATAGGGCCTTAAATTTTATAATTGTGTATAGATGAATATTGGATTTCATTTGTATCAAGCTATTTGTGTTTGATTGGCAAAATATATGTGCAGCTACTTTTGAAGCTATAATTTCATTAGTGTTAGATGAAGAGGAATACTAGAGGAGATAAGAGGGTTATAGGAGCAGAGAAGACTTTGTTGTTGGAAGAGAAGTTCTTCAACATTTTTTAGTTCAATTGGCAAGTATAAAGGGGACTAACAGGAGAATTTTAGAACTACTTCTAGATAAAGCTAATCGTCTAGAAAATGCAAGAGTGAATTCAGAGTTTTAAAGATAAGACTATCCTTCTAGAGACGTACAAAAGAAGTTGTAGACAAAACTCAAACTTTATCTAGTAAAGCACTTAGAAAATTTTAATTTATATTTACACCATTACTAATCTCTCAATATTCAAAAATCTTCAACTTGAAAGACTTCGTAAATTCATCCGCACCTTGCTTAGGAGTTTTCACATATATCAGCTCCCCTTCCTTTTTGGGCAGTGCTTTCTTTGTTTCCACACACATCATTGCTCGCTCTGTTATCCAAATACCATAAACTATATTCATCCATTTTGTCTTACTTTTTTTTAACCGAGAAGAATTAACATTACGTTCTAGCACTGAAGGAAAAAAAAGGAGGAATGAACAAATTTATGACTATTGTACCACTCAATTTAGATTTGTAATACATTTTTCATTTCTTCTTGGTGGTAACCACTTCCTCTTTTTCCTTCTTATTTGCGACCACCACATCTAAATGAATCTTGGCCTTTTCTCTTTATTGTCGTAATTGTTACTATTGTTTCTTCCTCAACCATGACCACCACGTCCTATTCCTTGTCTACGTCCTTTATAGCTTTTTTCACCTCCTATCATTCTTAAGTTTCCCTTGGTTACAAAAAATAGTTCTAGCTAGTGGCTCTTTGTGTGTCATCTTGATCTTCTTCTTCATAGACTTGTAAAGAGCCCTTTAATTGTTCTAACGTCATAGAATCTAAATCTTTAGACTCCAAAATTGTGCACATCACATAATTAAAATTTAGGTGTTAAAAAATACATGATTCTTCTACCATATGGACAACTTCTACTTTCACTCACTATCTTTTTAGTTGATTCACAACGAGTTTCACTTTTGAACAATAATCGAAAAATGGATTCGGATATTTTCCTTTTTAAAGCTTCAAAGTCAGCCTTTAGAGATTGAAGCTTTACTTTTTTCATTTTATCAACTCTTTAGAGAGAATTTTGTACATCGCTCTAGTTTCTTTTGACCTTCTCAACTTGGCATCATCCAAGCGTTAGTGAATGAGAGTGAAAGCTCGTCAATAAGAGAATATGGCACTCATGGAAGAAGCAACAGTAACAACTCTACTAATAAAGAAAGACCAACAATCATTTAGGGATTATGATTGGGGACAAGGAAGAGGGGAGGACGTGGTTGCCATCAAGAAACAAATGAAAAAGGTATGATAAAATCTAAACTTGAGTGCTAAAATTGTCATATCTTTGACCATTACTCTTAGAGTGCCACACAACATTGAAGAGAAAACCAACTTTATTGATGACGAGAAAGAAGGTAATGCCAATATTTTTCTGATATTTAAGGGACAAAAGACTAGGATGGTTGCAGTCTCTGGTATTTGGACAATGGACCAAGCAATTATAAGTGTGGATACAAAGAATGTATTGCCAAGGAGTAAGTGGAGCTCAATGTTTGAAGACTCGTGATCAAGCATTGCAGATATTTTTATGAAGCCTCTAAAGTTTGAAGATTTTGAAAATTAGGATCAAGACTTGGAGTAAATCAAAGAAGAAAATTCAAAAATTAAGGGTGTGGATGTTGTAGATGTAAATTGGGATTTTCTTCTTTGCTTCAAGTCTTGATCTCAGTCTAAGTTGCTCGGACTTGGGTGCGGGTATCCGATACGGGAATTGATCCGAGTATCGGATTCGGCAAAATCTAAATTTTAAGATTCGGGGGTGCGGATCCGGATATGGATACGGGTGCTGGGATTCGGCTAATAAAAAAATAGAGCTATAAAAATATTGTAAATTTTGAGTATTCTGTGAAAACTTACATAAATATTGTAGAGTTCAATCTTTCATTCTCCAAGATGGACATTATTTGTCCTAAATCTATTTTTATTTTTGATTTGAGAAATCAAAATCTCTATTTTTCTCCCAAATTTGTCAATGGACTCTAGCCAAAGTATCCGAAGTCAGTTGACTAAATCCGGGACGTATCTCTTCTCCGTCCCCGTCTCGTATCGGGACGGGACGACACCAAAATCGAAGAGTCCCCGCAACTTAAATCTCAGTCTTCAAAAATCTGAAAACTTAAAGAATCCGTAAAAGTGTTTACAACTAGATCATGAGTCTTCATATATTTGAACTCCAAGACTTTCATGAAATACTTTTTTGTATCGGCAACACATATGGTTGGTGCTCCGTTGTCCAAATATTACGAACGGCAATCAACCTCAGCCTTCTCTATATCATGATCTCTAAATGATTTTCGACGTTTCTCTTCATTGTTGGAACTATTATATTATTGCATATTCCTCTTTCACGACCGCTACATCCATGCCCTTTATAACTCTTTTCACCTCCATCATCCTTTAGGGATGCCTTGATTTTAAGAAAGTTGCTCTATTGGCTCTTCTTGTGTCCTCTTGATCTTTTCTTCACGGGGTTGTAAAGAACCTTTCAATTGCCCTCTCATCCTAAAGTTTAAATTTTTAGACTCCTCAATATCATACATCACATAATTAAATTTAAATGTTAAAAAATGCACGAACTTTTCCACCACATGGATATCTTTTACTTTTTTCCCTTACCTTTTAATTTATCATAACAACCTTTATTTTTCGAAAAATAATTCAAAACTTTCTTTGTTTTTAAAGCTTTAATGCGTATGAACTCTTTGGAGAAATTTTTTAAAATCTCCTAAGCTTCTTTTGAGGTGGTTGCATTGGCTACGTCTTCAAATATGACATCTTCCTAACATTGGCGATGGGAGTGAGAGTTTGTTAATCTTTTCTTCTTATCTTTTCCAAACATGTTGTTATTTTGAAGCAAAGGTTCCTCATTATTGTCACAGTGGCAATTTTCTTAAGCCCAAGATTCACCTCCATGTGGAAGTCAAGCTTAGCACCTGACTTCAGCCTTCCAACACTTAGTTTTATTTTAAGGTCATTTAAATCTGATTTGCTTGTAAGGTAGCAGAGTGAACAAAAAGCAAATGTTAAAAGCACACAATATACAGGAAACTTTTTTCACAACTTGTATTATAAGGTGAATACAAGAAGACAAAAAAGCCAACATTTGACCAAGTACGAAGAATACCTTAGTTTAATGCCTTAGAATATTTTTGCTACCCATAGGAATTCGCTCTTTTTACCCGAAATTAGGTGCGACTAGCATACATTTATAGCGCAGTCAGCCTATTACACATGACATACTCTCATGAGTCAGCTTTTCCTAATTCAGTTGACATCCCCAACTGATAAGCCATAAAAATATGCATTCACTTAGCCTACAAATCTGCCTTCACTGGACAATAGTAGAAATATTCGCCCAACTATTTTTTTTTTCATGTGCTTGATATGCTTGTCAACTGCCTCATGTGCATTTCATATGTGTGTCTTACACGCAACTGCATGCTTTGAGTCAAGGCCAACGGCTAGCCTCGTCAACTTTGCCATGTCAGTTGCCTCTACCGAGTCCTATGTACATGCCCATACACCTAACTGATACACATGACAAGTTCCACACATGACCATGCTAATTCAGCATTGCCCACATCTTGATTGCGCCAAGACCTTGCTTTGGCATCAAGTCATTATGCCATGATGCCATTATCCATGGTAAGTTATTTGCCCGTATTGTTACTAGGTGTCTGCCCACTCACCCAAGCTAAGACAACACTCGGTTGTCATTCCTTTAACACTAAGTCACTTTGCCTTATCGCCTAGGACTCTTTTGTTGCTACATTACTTTTCCACCGCACAATGGCCCATGACAATGAGCAACATGTCAAACCCTTGTCATGTCTGTGCCATAATCCGATCTACTTGGATAAGGGGCAAACAAACTACCCCCACCCAAAAAATTCATCGTCCTTGATGAAGCAGGTTCCGCATTTTTCAGCACCACCATAGGTCCCAAATATACACATTACTATTCTCTACCTTGCTGCTCCGCTTTACTATCATCTTCTGTAAGTAGAGCAGTAATGCGTTCAAGCTTTGAGCATTTCTTTAACGAATAAGGTCTTTTGCAAAGAAAGCAACCATCAAATTTGCCACTTTGTTCCCCTTTCTTTGAAGTTCTTGCACTTTGCTTTTCCTTCTTGTTGCCATTGTCCCCAACAACATCACCCTTGTCATTTCCCCTTTTCTTCCTTTCTGTTGCCTTGTCCTTGTTCTTATGTTTGAACTTAGACATAAAATAAAAGTTAGAATCTTCTTGTCCCAATCGGAAGTCACCTAATGCATCCGCAACTGTAATAGTACTAGGAAGGTCTTTCACGTTCGGCCTTCGAAGTTCTATTTGCGCCCACGAATGCACCCATACAAGAATTTTTGTAACTTGTCTTCCTCAAACATATTGCTTATGTCTAGCATCAAAAAACTAAAATCTTTGACCTATTCCCTAGCCGTTCTAGTTTGCCTCAACTTTTTCAAATAATCTCTAGCAATCCAGTCTGCATTGCTAGGAAAGAATTGTTCTTTCAATTTTTTATTCAGCCCTTTCCAAAAGTTAATTTTAGGCCAGCCAGCACTCATGTCGGCTGCCATGCATGTATGAAACCATAGTTTAGCGTCGTCTACCAAGTACATTGTTGTAATAGTGACTTTGTCCTCATCTCGCATATGGGCAACATAAAAGTACTGCTCCATATCCCACATGAAGTCTTCGAGTTTCTTGGCACTCCTTACATTATTAAACTTTTTTGGCTCCGATATTTT